ACACAAAAAATAGGAATTTTAAATAATTAATTTGATTCTAATATCGATATATTTTTGTCAAAATTTTATGATATCTTCAAATTTGTATTTTATTCAAAAATAAAAAATTATCGTTTTTTCAAAATCACATAAGACCATATTATAATATCGACTGAGATAAAGAATAAAATGAAATATTAAAATCAAAATATATCTCGCTGCATTACGCGAGTACCCATTCTAATTATTTATAAAGAATAAAATTAATTTCATTTCAAATCTTGAACAAATCAAGGACAACAAAAGTTCTAAATTTTTACACTTATTCCGAATCTCTAAAAAGTATTTCATCAAACTAGAAACCTATCCCCTTCAAATCTTTAGGATAATAAGACCTGCTATATCCGGTTAGACCAAAACGACCCATTTAGACCAATCATGACCCACTTTGAAATCGTTGATGATAATAAGACTCATTATACTCACTTAGAACAAAACGATCTATTATCTAGGCATTAAGGACCACCATGACCGGTTATACCTAACTTCAAACTAGGGGTGCTCACGGCCCGGGTTGATCGGTTTGGAGCCGTTTTAACAACTCAACCCAATGTTGGCGGTTTGAAAATTTTCAACCCAACCCAACCCAACCCAACCCGTTCGGGTTGATCGGGTTGTGTTTAAACAATGTAAAATCACATAAAAATAAAATAAACTTTCTTTTGAAATACGACCGACCATCCAAGATATGATGCAAGTTCATCAAATATTTAGATATTACAATAAAAATATTTAAACCAAATGATAATACATCAATCAACAACAATAGTTTTAGACGTTTCCAACCCCAATGTTTTCGCTTTCTTGACGTTGAGGTTGGTCATTCCATGATTGTCATCTACAATTCATAGCTAAAGTTAAGGTCGGGTTCATCGGGTTGGGTCGGGTTCTTTTGGGCCTGACCCGATTCCAACCCAATAAGGTCGGGTTGGCTAATTTTTTTATCGATCATGCATCGGGTTACCTCGGGTTGGGTTTTTTTTCAAAAAATTCGAGTTTGGTTGGTCGGGTTCATCAGGTGTTTGAGCACCCCTACTTCAAACCATTAAGATTTGTTCAGCTTGATTTGGACCTATAATGACACATTTATGACCCACTTAGACTTATTGAGGGTAATACAACCCATTATACCAAATTAGGCAAAAACGACACACTAAACTTAGTTAATAGCCAACCTGGCCTGTTATACCTAATTAAACCCATTAAGGTATATTCAAATTGATTATGACCCATTTAGACTCGTCATGACCTTATACTCGTTGATGAGAATAATATCCATATATTATACCCATTTAGACCAAAACGACTCATTAACAAGATATTACGAATCACCATGATTTGGTTGTCCACAAGTATGGGGAGGATGTGACTTCTCAAGTTGAGTTAGGGGACATTGAACTATGGACGGAGGCTATATGAGGAGTGAAGAATGGGAGGATCTACGGGTTTGGTGCGCCAGACGATCCACAACTCGTGATGACCGTACCTCCAGTATCATACGGTTCTCTGAGCAGGGGGGACTTCTGATGAGGTATATGTGTGTGTGCATATACATTTAGTCTTTTACAAACTTATGTTATGCTTAATTAATGTTAATTGTTTGTGTTGAACAAATGAAGGTACGGCTTCTGAAGGAGGAGCTTAAAAAGAGAAATGAGCATATTGCAAAGCAACAATGGATGTTTGAGCAGAGGTGTGAGCAACAGGTACAACAATATGTTGTAGCACAAATGAGACAAATGATGGAGCAGGTCGCTAGATTCACCATCCCCTTCCTCTCCCCCAGGTACAACAGCATGTAACGCAAATGAGACAAACGATGGAGCAAGTAGCTAGATTCACTTGTGCTCCAATCAGTTTTACACCATCCCCTCCCCCTTTTGATTTTAGCTAGACGTACATATTGTATTTGCACTGCTTATTTATATTATGATCTATTGTAATTGTGTTTGGGCAGATTTATCCAGGAAATCACGTATTTTTTATTTTTATTTTTAAAATACGTTAAATTTAGACAGATTTTCGACAGAAATATGTCAAAAATTCCATGAAAGTTCGTCACAAATGGCAAATAAAGTGATCATTTCTGTCGAAAAACCTATGAAAACAATCCATGAAAAATCCCTCGAAACAGTTTCTAATCTCTCGTAGACACATTTTCAACCAAAATTTCTTTGACGAAACTTTCCGTCGAAAATCAGCTCACCATTTTCGACGGAACCTTCTGCCTGAAAAGCTCCTGTGTTTTGTAGTTAGACTTGTCAGTGGTCTCCTTCACCCCTGGTTGTTCCCGGTTTGGGTTTGTCACGTTTATACAGTGTCGTCTCTATTTTTTTTTATTTGTTGCAATTCTCTAATTGTATTTATGTTCTACTATTTGTTCGTCTAAGTTTTCAATAGATAATTTCATTAATTTCCCCTGAAACCGATACAATTCTCATTTGGAACATAGATTTTGGGTTGAACTTGAGAGGATTTTGTTTCTCGGTTTTACAACATCCTTATAAATTTGTCAAGCACCAAAAAACACACAAAGTTTCATAAGACATCACACGTGATTACATAAGATTTAGCAGCGACCTCACACATCTTTTTATTTTTATTATTATTACATCTTAGGCCTCCTTTAACCATACCCTAATTTCATTGTAAACAATTATATTTCGTTTTGCACTATAATCATGTGAGCCTTTTAATCATTCTGATCACTTAGTCATTCTGCACTAAACCATTTAACAACTACCAATCAATCTCTTAGTCTTTGTTATTGTAATAATTTTCTATATTTTGAATTTTCTCTTCACAAGTCCATGTTTTCCGAAAAAATTCAAAATGGTTTAACAAATTTGGTCACTTATGTTATGTACAAATGTGCGTACTTGCAAATGATTCATAAATTTATTTTGATTAAACGTAAATTTCGAACTTTCTTTTTAAAAGAGGAATTACATTATTTTTTTAATTTGTATTTCATAATGAAAATTTTATATTTCATAACATCGTATGAGTATACAAGTAGCAACACGATAACCGTAAAGTTAGCGTCGGTGTATGTATCTTATTTGTATACAAAAAGCCAAAATTTTGAACATTGTCATTTAAAATATTCGATACAAAAGAAACTGATGTTTATATAAATAAAATGGGTAAAAAGAGAGAGACCTTTAATTCAGTCTAGACTGGACCAGAACAGTCTCCAGTCAAACCATGACATCATCCGGCAGGCCAAAACAGACTGTCGATTCTTACTTGATCTAAAGTTTTTAGACAAGCTTGTCTTTTCTAAGACAAAAAGAAGTTGGGTCGGATAAAATTTGAACCAAATCAAACTGGGTTGGATCAAGCTAATTTTTTAAAAAGTTGTTTTAAAAATCAAATTAATAAATATAATTAAAAAATAAACATGCTTATACACTAAAATATAAATAAACAACCTGTTTATATTTTATAATATATGACATTTAATTAATTTATAAGAAAGACTACATATTATTAAAATCCTCAAAATTTAACAAAACCAATTAAACCAAAATCAACACAACAACCTCCACTAGGTTACGACGATGCGTGAATCACGAGGACTATGATTTTTAACCAACCAAACTAAAGTTTTAAAATTTATTTTCCACCAGGGTCGCACTTTTATTTTTAAAAGGAAACAAATAGTGTCACATGTCATATTGGTTTGAATTTCGCTCCAAATGTCAAAAGTACTAAAAGATCACAGGTTCAAATTCAAGCAGAAATAAAAATCCCCTTGTGGCCATGGATGTTCAAATGCGGTGACTCCGGACTATCTGCAAAGCAGATGGTCGCTCTGGGATTAATTGGCTCGCATAGCGGGTTGGATATCCAGGTTAATCAAAAAAAAATGTCACATATTTGTGGGTTTTAAAGAAATAGCGTATAATCTGGTCAATTAATTCTGTCAATGGACTAATGGGTCCAAATTAATAGAAAAGTCAAAATAGTTCATATGTCTTAATAGCTTGAAATTTCGTTAATTGTGGGAAAATTTTGTGGAATCTATGAGTCGTAGTCTGGGTAAAATGAACTGAATATTCAGTGAACTGTTCGATCAGAAGTTTGTTTATTTAATAAATGAACGAACATGAACACATTTTTTGTTCGTTTAGTTGAATGAACGAACATGAACAATGGTCTCGTTTGTTCATTCTTCTTTGTGAATGTTCTTTAATTTATGTTCGTTTACACTTGTTTATATATATAAATGTATTTATATATTATGAATTAATATGTGAAATCATTAATTAAATTAAATTTATAGAATTCTTTTTCTTATCGTTTCTAAATTTACACTAATTTTCATTTTGTTATGTTATTTTCGAGAATCGAAATGATGAGTAGTGGTGGTTTTTTTTGTTCATTTGTTTATGTTCATTGATGTCCGTCCGTTTTTCTTCGTTTGGCATCTTAACAAATTAACACAAACAAACACATTTTCTTAGAGTGTGTTTGGTACATTAGACATGAGAGAACATAACAAACATAAAATGGATCATTGTTCCATATTTGACATGATTTTTATGTGAAACAGACAAAAACATGGTGGAACAAATTGGAACAGACGTGTTCCCCTGCCTCATGGAACAAGTTGGAACAAACCTATATTATCCAATATACCGTTAAAATAAAACTTACACATCCTCTTCACTTTTAGTGAGATTTGAACATCTGACATTCTAGGAGGTCAAAGGCTCACATAATGCGAGACCAAAGACTCTTTGATAAAAATTGAAAATTGTATAACTTCATATTTTGGTGTTATTTTAATCGTATTGATGAAAACTTTTTAATTATATATTTTGTTAGAAAAATATTTTCTTAATTATAATATTTAATACATTATATAAATTAATCAAAATATAAAAAAATAAAAAATAAGAAAATTATAATCACCTCTA